TTTCTAATTTAATGAAAAATTTGTTTTTTTCTTGTTTTCTGTGTGTTTTTCAATAAAAAAGTAATACGAAAACTTGAAAATTAGTAACATAAAAAGTAATGTGAAAACTTGAAAAATAGTTCATTAGGGTAAAGTGTTTTTCTTCTCTGGCTTAAGTGTAATTTAAAGGTAAATGTAAATAGAAAAACAAAATTTATTGACTTCTATTCATTTAATCCACGTTTTTAGAATTAACTCATCAATATAATTGTAACAATAATAACATCAACAAGATTTTCAAAAATCAACTGCAGGGTTTTGCCTAGGTTTGCTTCATGAGGCCCCAGGCTCAAAATTAGCGTGAGTCAAATACAATTCACGTGGCAGTTAATGTGTTAATCAGTAAACGATCATATTATCCCTGTTTTACAGATTTAAAACATGAGGTTAAGAGGAGATAAGTAACCTGCCCAAGGTCACACAGTGACAAGTGGCAAGAGCTGCTTCAAATCATTTTGTGAAATGAGATAATGAATGTGAAATTAAGAGGAAAAGCTGGGATTCTAAACAGATCTGTACGATCACAAAGCATTCAGGCTGCCTCCCACATGGGACCTCCTAAATAGGACAGCCACACCGGGTGAGAAAACTCAAAGGGCAAAGTGACATCCTTCAATTTACAAAGTTAGGTCCAACTGCTCTTGGGACAAGAGATAAGGTTGAGATGCTTTTGAACTCTGACATTATTTATAATTTATCTTCTAGGGAAGAGGAATTCCCTCTCTTCTTCTAGGACCTCAGAGGAAGCCAAGACATTGTCAGATCTTATACCCAGATTGTTCCTTATATCCAGGGGCCTCCCCACTGGAACGAGATTCTACTATATCCAAATGGCTTGGGGTACATCTACCACCTTAGATGACCCCCAAAGCAAATGGAACTCAACACTGAGTGACCACGTGCCAGTTACTTAACTTCTCTGAATTTAATAGTGCTTGATGCAGGGTCAGCATCTGGGAAGAGATGGCTGGATGGAGGAAGGGAGATAGGATGAACAGCTGATATGGTGAAACATGTGGCCCACCCATTTCTCCTTCCATTTCCATCATCGTCAACCTGAAGAGTACAGAACTATAGGGAAAAAGAGATTCCTTTTCCTGGGCTCCATCTTAGGAAATATGCTCTTACTGCTTATCTTCTTAAACTTCCCTCTTTAGTAGTCAATCCATATTGCTAGGGGCACACTGAGATAAATATTTCTGAGCACGGTAGAGAGATGTTAAAAGCTAAAGGCCTGAGGATTTGGGGGGCGCAGCCTGTGCAGAAAGGCCAAATGAACAGCAGCACAGACATGGCTAGAGACTCCAGCTCTATCGCAGCGTTTGTCTCAATGAGAGGCTTCCCAGCATCCTGCCCTCATTTTGGCTTTATTCTCCTTTTCTGAAACTAGCTAAAAGAAAGAATTCAAGAGCCTGAGAGAACCATGGGGTTGGTAAGTCCAAACCCACAAGGGCATAGAGATTCAGAGTCTTTTTCATCAGTACTTTAACCAACAGTACGTTCACCCAAAGACAAAAAATGTGAACTGTTTCGTCCACAACTGGGATAAAAGCAGAACTGCTAGCCACATCATTGACCATGGTGTTTGGACAGCTATTGTAGCATTACCTTGTTTTTATCATTCTCTGAGTATGACCACCCAAAGGATCAGCAGGCCAATAGACTGTTAGTTTCTGTTACATTCACGATCTCTCACCGGCTGGCAAAGCAACTTCCTAGAGATATCAAGTGGCCTGTACATTTTGTAACTCCTGAACTGTGCCTCCCACGAAAGAACCAGAAAAAGGGTTTGGCCATGCAGAGTTTAGCCACCAGCCCAGGAAAAGACAACTTTCTTTCTTTTGGAATAATAGAACCCAGTTCATGGGAAACAAAAGGAACAACACTATCATGCTAAGATTTATAACGAAAAAGTTCTGTCTGCTTTTGCAGACAGAACCCCAAAGAGCATATACTACGTGATTTCTATTTACAGAAGTTCAGAATCATCTCCCACGGTGTTGAGAATCAAGAGGTGCTTATCTCTCTGCAGGAAGGAGGCAACAATAATTGGAATATGCATAAGGGGGCTTTGGGGATGCTTGTTAACATTTTATTTTGATCTGTGTGCTAGGTATAGGACTGTGTTCATTTTGTGGTAATTCATCACATGACACATTTAATAATTTTCATGATTATATGTATTTTATGCATTGACAAAATGATTTTTGAAAAATCATTCTCTTTATAGACAGAAAGTATTATAGCTTATACTTACTGCTACCTGCTTGCAAAATCTAATTCATGTACATTCAGTCAGACACTTAAAAAGCCAAAAAAAACCAAGAAACCCATAGGCCTCTTTTTTCACCTTAAATGTTTTTTGACAGTTTTCAAATTCAATAAGAGGTTTTTTTCGGACAGAATTTCCTTGAACTTCAGGGCCTAATCAAGCCTTTTTCTGTACTTGGCCAGTCTTTGGATGGGCCAAATTCTGCCTACAGTCCCACAGAGAAAACAAGTAATCCTCAGGCCTCCCAGGTCTGAGGCAGAGGAGTGCAGGAAAAGTTAAGAAACTTTCTCCAAATTACACAATGAGTTGCTGGTGGGGGGCCTTGTGATTCTCAGTCCAAGGGCTATCACTTTTCTACTACATCTCATTCCACTGGGGCCAATTAATAAACATTCTCCTTTGGGGAACTGAGAAAAATGAGCCCAGTAAACTCCACTGGTCATTCTTTGCATACAAAGTACACAAAGGGGTTGACCAAGTTCCTCTCCAACAGGAAATAATTTGTCTCAGACAGCCAGGAAGAGGAGGAGGGAAGTGCTGAGTCTGCAACAGGGCATTGCAACACAGCCCAGTGTTTTTGTGGAAACGCTGTTCCCCTAATTAAAACACAGTTGCATAAATGGACTCACTCCACTTAAGAAAAAAAAAGTTGTTTAAAGCCTATAAATGGGGACCACACAACCCTGATTAATTTTTAAAGTTCTTTCTCTGCTTTCTTTTTCAGAAAGTAGCTAAAAATAAAGGCTAGAAACTTGAAATAATGTAAGCAAGTAATCACACACACACACTGGGCTTTTCCCATATATGGCTGTGTTATTCTTCAGTCTTTGAAAAGGCCAAATGAAGAGATGGCCAGCAACCAAAATAATCCCTCAGACGTTTGAAAACGAGAAGAAAAAACTAGAAGAGTTGGTGAATGACAAACAATTGTGAGCCTCAATGGGGATAAATGGCACCGAGAGGGATTTGTTGCCATAGTACTTTAAAAACAAGAGCACATGCATTTTGACACTGGCCCCCTTCTATAAAGAGACTGTTTTGCCCTCTGGCCTCAGCACTGAGAAAATTACAACTGCAATAATTTAACGTAAAGGACTTAAAGAACGAAACCAGTGCAGAGGCATGACTGAAAATTTAATTAAGGCCCTTCTCAGTATAAAATCTGTAAAGGAGAGGAAGGCACATCTCAAGGTCAGAAGAAAGGCAGGGAGACCTGCAAACTGATTCGAATGGAACATGAAAGTATAAATAGCAGAGGTCAGCTTCCTTATGATAGATGGTTATTACAGTGTCTGTTGGGTTCTACTTGAAATGTCTCTGTAGAGAAGATTAACACATTCATGTCAAACAAATGCTACCTTGTGTGAGGCAGGAGGGAAAAGTCACATTTTCACAGTGCTCTGTGGTTTACAAGACCTTGTCAGATGTAACCCTGGATGCCAGGTAAAGCACCTGCTTTTAATGATATGGAAACTGAGACTCGGAGAGGTTAAGTGAACTAACACAAGTTCTACGATGGGTGGCTTAGTGCAAGAGGGCTAGGGTAGCGACTGGAAGCTACATCTCCCAACGTGCAGGCCAGAGCTCCTTCTAATCACATAACCTTTGAGAGAACACCAGGCAGAGCGTCAAGTTTAGGTTTGGATTGTGGCTCATCCACTAACTTTCTCTGAGACCGTGGACAAGTCATTTCTTCTCTTCTGATTCTCATCCTCAACTAAAAAATGACAGGGCTGTCCTAGATAACAGGAGACAGAGAGACAAATGTGAACTGCGGGATTCACTCTGCTCTCTGCACTTATCTGCGAGTCTGTCCTTGTGGATGCTCAGATGGGACTGATGGGTGCAATCACCACTTCACTGGGGACCACCTTCACGTTATAGGCCAGAATATACACATGGAACCTAGAAAAATGATTTCCAACAGCCTGGAAAACCTCTCCGACATTCTGAAAATATAGTATTGAAAACTACTGAAGAGGCAACATGAATTCTAATTTTTCACCTCACTGCTTTTTTCCTTTTCAGTTCCTAAGGGATGGACCTTCCTTGTGATTCTTTTTCTGAAAAGACATTTTGCTTTTTGGTGACACTGCATGCTTCTAATGGTTTTCCCACGCTTGCCCATAAAAGTTTTCTATTTGGGTAGAGAGTCAATAATAATAACAAACAACAGTAACAAAAATAGCAGGTATCATTTATTGAGGGCCTACGATACACACTGTTGCCGAGCCCTTTCTATCGTCCCTAATCTGTGCAACTACCAGATGACGTCAGTATTACTTTCTCCATTTTAAGGATAAGAAAACCAAGGCTCAGAGAAGTTTAGTGACTTGTCCAAGGAAGGCCATCTTAATAACTGCAGGGCTGGGATTTAAACCATTATCTGTCTGATTCCAAAGCCTATTCTTTCTTTTTCTACTCCATTATGAGGCCTCTAGTCAGCTTACTAACGCGTCAAAGACTCTGGGCAGTGCTGCTTGTTGTGATGTCTTCTCGTCACTATTTCACAGCAAAGAATACCTTCCAGGTGGTCATAAAGCTCCCCCACTGAAATTCCAGCTGGAGGATAAGTAGGGTGGATATGAGGTGGGCTGGGCTGATGCAACGGCAAAGTGAGCCCACATGCTTTCCCCCTGCACCAAAAGGATCAGGTTGAGAATTGCGATTTCATTTCCAAATCACTAACCTGATGAGGCACAAGCCCAAGAGAGGTTGGAGGCTCATTCATGCGATCGTCACTGCTGCTGGCAATGGCATAGCCCCTGAGGAAAGGAAACAATTAAAGCTGTTCACTTAACCGAAGTTTATGTTTAACTTGTGAAGATGATCTGGCAGACATCCATGTAAGATTTATAAGGATAACTAAAATGCCCCTTGCTGGGCAGCACAAGCTAGCAAAAAACTAATTTCCCTGGGAAGGAAGGCAAGAAGAGTAATAAAAAAAATGCATGGATTGGAGCCAGAAAGATCAGAGCTTGTGACCATAGACAAGGTGCTTAACTTCCCTGCGCTTCAGGTCCATCATCTGTAAAATAGGAATAAGGGGGTCGTGAGGAATAAGTTAAGAATATACTCTTTACTAGATAAAGTGCCAAGAGCAATGTCTGGCACATGATAGGCCAAAAAACATCAACTCCCTTACTCTGAGACAGTCTTGTAAAACACCACAGCATGTTTTTGTATTGAAAGTTTGAAGTGGGAGACTTTCTAACCTTAACTTGTTTAGTTGATATAAATGTTACCAAAATGCAGAAATAAAAGTGAAGAATAATTGGGCAGGAGAATTAACGCACTCCTCCCCGAGCAACAGTGTGATGCTTACTTGTGTCACCAAAGAGATGCAACACAGGACCTGGTTTTCAATCTATGACCAGGGAAAATGTGGCAGACACAGGGTCAAGGGAGCATAAAATCAGTTCTCAAAGATTTTTATCTCAAATACTTCCTATCAGGAAGTGACACTAAATTTAAACAACAGAGATAGCTAAGGTGGATGACAAAGATAAGAGGAAGACAAAAAAAAATGCTGCTGCTTTTCATTCAACTCTGGAGGATCTGTGCTAGTTACATATGCTACCAAAATCTTGCAGGGGCCATCTTTACAACTGCAGAGAAAAGCTATGAGTCACATGATAAATAAAATATTCATGTTAATTTGCATGCTGACTTTCTGAGAACTGGAAAGATAAATCTTTCAAAAATTCGATCTTCTCCTGACTGTATTACCAACAGCAGAGCATAGTGATCAAAAACGGTTTGGAGCCACATTGGCTGGGCTAAATCCTGGCTGTTCCACTTACCGTGTGAGTTCAGCCGCTTACTTATGCTCACTATGCCTCAATTTCCCCATAAAAAATGGGACTAATACTAACAGTTCTTTCCTAACAGTTTGCTATGAGGAGTAAAACAGGCGATATTTGTAAAGTGCTTAGAGCAGTGCCTTGCACAAAGTAAACATTATATAAATGTTTGAAAAATGAAATAAACCACAGTGTACTTGTCATATAGTTAGGTGTAAATATCTGTTTGACTTCGGTCTGACTTGACTATCTGACACTTGACAGCACAGTCTTGGCCAGATATTGAGAGAATCTTAAATTGTTAGCATTTTCCCTCTCTTTTCCTCCTTTCCTTTCCTTTTTTCTTTTTTTTAAATTACTATTTTTAAAGTGAATTTTTATTGTCTTCAAGGTATAGGGCTAAAACAATAATAATAAATTAATTTTTGCCTCACTTCTATTTAATGGAAGAAGAATTAATTCTTCTTATAAGTAAGAAGCTGTGTGGAGCAGACAGGGTGTCCAGATCACAACTGTGCTAATTTTTGTATGTGGAATATAACATATATACAATGTGAAAGACATACAGACTACTAAGAGGCCCAAGCTCAAGTTGAAACAAAAAACACCAGCCCATTCACTTCTTTCTTCTCACATGCAAGCCCAATACACTATGAGAGTCTAATCAATTAAAAAAATATATTTAAAAATTGGTGTGGCACTGGTGTACTAGGTGGTCAGGACCAACCCTCCAATTGAGAATAAATAGAAAAGCTAGACAGAATGTAAAAACCTATGTTTGAAAGCATCAGAGAGCTACCAAGATAGTGATGAATTCTAGAGCCAAGATCTGTGAGAGCAGAGAGGCCTGTAAAGGTACATCAGGCATCTCCCAGGGGGCTTATCCCCACAAAGAGACTGCTGACCTCCAAAAGCAGTGGCCATAGGATCAGAAGTTGAACAGTAATACTGGCAGACTCACGGGGCCAGAGGGAAGGACTGAAGATTGAGGTCTGCTGATGAGGAGGAGCCAGGAAAGCCATCCCAAGCTTTGGCTTGGGCTCATTGGGGGATACCTCCTCAGAGTAGGGTGAACCAGAACTAGACCAGCCCTAATTGGATTAAAGTGTTCTAGGACTGCTAGTGCACTTACCCTAGTGGTCAGCCAAAAAAAATGTAAATCACATCATCTCTATAATTTTTCATTTATAATGTTCAGTATTCAATAAAAAATAATCAAAGATATTAAAAGTATCAGGGAAATTTAAATACTAATTGCGTATGTGATGATATTAAGGAATTGCCTTTGTTTTTACATGTAAAAATAGTAGCAACATATACTGAAAACATACCTTTTTATGAATGAAATGCTATGTCTTAGATTTGCTTTAAAAATAAGCCAGTGAGAGGAGGAAAAATGTGGATAGCAGTATAGATAGCATAAATAAATGATGATTGGCCATATGTTGGTAATTGTTGAAGTTGGGCAGTGTACACAGGGGAGGTATAGATACAGATATATCTTCTTTCATATATGTTTAAATTTTCCATAATAAAAAGTTTTTTGTTTTTTAAAAACCAGTTATATAAGGAAAGAATACGTGACCAAAAACCAAGAGAAACAATAGACAATAAGAACAGACCCATAGGAGATCCAGATAATGGAGATATCTGATAAAGACTTAAGACAAAAACATGATTAAATGTTTCCAAGGAATCAAAAAGATCAAAATCATAATTTCAGCAGAGAACAGGATCAATTGGAAATTCTGGACCTGAAACATGATAATAAAATTAAAAACCTGGGGCTGGGTGCGGTGGCTCACGCCTGTAATCCTAGCACTCTGGGAGGCTGAGGCGGGCTGATTGAGCTCAGTTCGAAACCAACCTGAGCAAGAGCAAGACCCCGTCTCTACTAAAAATAGAAAGAAATTAATCGGACAACTAAAAATATATAGGAAAAATTAGCCAGGCATGGTGGCACATGCCTGTAGTCCCAGCTACTCGGGAGGCTGAGGCAGAAGGATTGCTTGAGCCCAGGAGTTTGAGGTTGCTGTGAGCTAGGATGACGCCATGGCACTCTAGCCCGGGCAACACAGTGAGACTCTGTCTCAAAAAAAAAAAAAAAAATTAAAAACCTGATGGATGGTTTTAACACATATTATTCACAGAGGAAGAGAGAATTAGTAAACTAGAAGCTAAGTCAAAAACAGCCATACTGAAGCAAGGAAAGACAAAATGATTGAAAATACAGAAAAAAAGCATGAAGGACACATAGGTTGATTCTAGCTGACATGCAATTGCAGTCTCAAAAAGAAAACAGAAAGAGAGAATAGGGTAGAAGCAATATTTTAAGAAAAAACTGTGTTAGCAAAACTAAACAAATACCAATTATGTAACAATAATAATATTGCCTGGGGTTTAAAATATAAAGAAAATTTTAAAATGAGTGCGCAACACTGCTGGTTGCCAATCCAACATCCATTCTCCTCTTCTACCTTACCAGAATTTTATTCAGAGAGGCAATGTGCCCAGCCAAAAAAAAAAAAAAAATTGCAACTGGCAGTCTTCCTTGCAACTAGGAGTGGCTATGTGATACGGGAATTAAATCAATGAGTTAGTTTTCCAGGAAAGCTCTTTAAAAAGGGGCAGACTCAGCTGACCACAACTTTTATCCTTTCGTCATGCCTTTCTTCTAAACTATAATACAGAAGCAATACTGAAGGTAAAGCAGCCATCCTGTGACCACAAGGTGACAAGCATAGGGAGAAAGCTAAGAGTGGCTAAGTGAGAAGAAGGAACTCAAGATCCTGATCTCATAATGCAGCCTTTGTACCAGCCCTGGACTGCTTGCCTCTGAACTTCTTGCTCCATAAGAAAGATACAGCCTCATTTGGCTACATCACTGAAGCTGAATACAATTTCTAACATCAATGATTTCTGTATTCCCTTGCAAGTGTTCAGGGATAAGAAAACCAAAATTTACTAACAGAATAAAAGCATGAAAGTCCTAAGGTCTCTACCAAAATTTTTATTCTTCCTCATTATCAGTTTCCAAATAACTCTAGAAGAATTCAACTCCAGAAGGATGCAGAGATGTAGCCCCAAAGATTCCATGACAACTTCTTTCAGGCCAAAGAACCAGACCCGGTTTTTTTAGTCTTGTTTTTTTGAGGATAGAAAGAGCAATAAAATTCTCAGAAAAGTAAGACTGAGCAAAGGCCAAGGGAGACGCTGAAGACAAACGCCTACAAAAGCTTTCTTTGTTTAAACACCCATCTCCTACCACCAAACTCACCCTTCCGGATGCTGCAAAACAGAAACCATCAATTCCACTGCCAGGGCTCCTGCAATCATGGCCAGTCCTGGGCGACTCACAGTGCATTGCTGGTCCAAGGTCCGGTCTCTGGTGGACTGCAGAGAAACAATCACTAATGTGTGCTGAAAGTTCTAGTCCACTTAACTCTAGCTGTCTGAAGCATGAAACTCCTCTATGATAAAGCTTTAAAATATAACCAGATGCTCATTGTTGGCAAAGTACATCCAGCCTCAAATAACATCATTTCTTGGGATTATCAAGATAAACAAATTATACAATTTAGGTAACTAAATGAGGCAATGTGCTTAAAAGGATTAGCAGCTTAAACAAATTAAATATCAGGTGATAGCAATCAAAAATGGGGCTTAGCTGCCTCATATAGCACAGCTGCATCATGTGCGCCATTAACTGACTCAATTCCATTCCATTGTGCTTGGCAGTCACAAGACAGACAGACAGACAGACAGACACAGAGAGGAATAATAATTTGAATAGTGCAGGTGATTCACCCTGCCATTCTAACTGAGTTAATGTCTCAGAGTGTAAGATGGGAGCAGTAATTTACTATTCCTGCAGTCCTCAGTTCCTACGTGCCTCTAACAACATGGGCATCTCCTCACTCTGAGTATGATCCTAAGGTTTAACTACAAGTATTTTTTCTACAACATGGCTCCAAACACAAGCCTTCACTGGTTCAACCAACGAAATTCTAACCTTCCTACTGTGGGCAAATTAAGAGGTGTTAAGAGATAATTTTGACTCTGAAAATTTCACCTTATGAATAGATGTGACTTTACGGCAATGGCCCCTTAATCCAATCTGTTGGCAATAACTAAATAGCAAGACCAGTTGTATATGATAACACCATGATGGAGATCATCAAGCCACCCTTCTTCACATAAGAGAATGGTTATCTTCTCTTAAATTTCCATTACATTGCGAAAACATAAAAGCCAGTCATCCAAAAGAGGTCTGAGTTAATAAGGAACAAGTTTTAAAAGAAAGGAAAAATAGAAGGGAGGGTACAGAAAACATCTCTGCTTTGCTTCACTGGAAATTACTATCTGTTCTGCTAATAAAAAAAACATTCCTACAGACTGGCTTGTGTGGTGTCATGAAAGCTCCAGAATCTTATATTTGTACAGTGTGGTCTTGCTGTTTGAAGCACTTTCACACTTGACCCACTTTGCACAGTGAGTTGACAGGGCAAGTATTCTTCCCTCCCCTACTAGGGTTGCCAGATAAAATACAAGATGTGCAGTTAAATTTGAATTTTGGATAAACAATAAATAATTTTTTAGTATGAGGAGGTCTCAAATATTGCATGGGGCATATTTATACCAAAAAATTATTCGTTACTTATCTGAAATTCAAAGTTAGCTGGAATCCTGTATTTTTACTTGCTAAATCTGTTAGCCTATGCCCCACTCACATTTTGCAGAGGCACAGGGAACCTAAGAGACTTATTCAGAATTGCCTGTGAGGTAGTATAAAGGGCTGGATGGAATCTGGGTCTTTAGACTCCTCTTTTTTTTTTTTTTTCGGTGAAGGGTCTCAATCTGTCATTTGGGATGTAGTGCAGTGGCGTTCATCATAGCTCACAGCAACCTCACACTCCTGGGCTCAAGAAATCCTCCTGCCACAGCCTCCCAAGTGGCTGGGACTATAGGCAGGCACCACTGCAACTGGCTAATTTTTTCTATTTTTAGTAGAGATGGTGTCTCGCTGTTGCTCGGGCTGGTCTTGTGCTCCTGACCTCAAGCGATCCTCTTGCCACAGCCTCTCAAAGTGCTAGGATTACAGGCATGAGCCACCACACCTAGCCCCTAGATTCCTCATTTTTAATGCTCTTTTTATTAAGATAAGCACAGGAGCAATGCTGGATGCTATCAGGGACCAGTCTATGCTATGGTTTCCTCACCGAGTTTTTCACAAAAATGGTTTGTAACTGCATTTATACTGGTGAACAAAAAACAGCTGTACAGTTGATGATGCCAATCGAGGCTCACAGTGGGATAATACCATTCTCCCCAAATTGGAGAATTCTTCTTTCTGTTAAAAGACAGTATTTAGTCTCAATGAAAGAGCTGGTCTCTCTGCCTCAGTGCCCAACATGGTCATAGGAAATATTTGGAACTACAAAGAAATCTACTTACATCTCCCGGGGCCACCACATCATTGCAGAAATAGCAGCCAAGCTTATAGCCAGGGATGTTGGCAAAAAGTGATGAGCCCAGGATGTCGGCAGATGCCATAGGTTGGCTTGGACACAAGTCCCCGGCTCCCTGATGCTTTGGTTTCTTCAGGCCATGTCTCATGACAACAAATGTGTCAAATCCCAAGGCAGCATTGATGACCAGCTGCAGGTTTCAAGGAATAAAAAAAGAGTTAAAAGACACATATATTTCAAGGCATGGTTAATTCCTTATTTGGTGAAAAAATTAAAAATCTAAACTTTTTAAAATTTATTTTTTGCATATAAGTGTAATTAGATTCTAAAAGCTAATCATGGTAAAAGCTACTGAACACTGAGGACTTATTAAGTACAAAAGACTTAATGTGATTAACATAAACTATCTCATTTACTCTCATTTAAAACTCCTAACAAACACGTCTCATTTACAGATGAGGACACTGCAAGTCAGAGAAGCCAGTTCTACAGCTTCCCCAAGGTCACTTAGTGGTAAGAAGCAGGTATATAAAGCCAAGTCCATAGAGTCCTCAAACCCATTCTTTCTGCCATTATGCTGTGTTCTCACATGTCCACATAGATTTGTTTTTGTAACAGCTTTACTGAGATATAATTCACGTACCATCTAATTCACCCTCCACATAGATTTTTAAGGGACAGATTTTTTCATTTATACTACAAAAACTTTTCTTAGTTGTAATTTAACTTGTTCTTCCAAATTTCTGATCACATGGAAAGTTTGAAAAATAAAGAAATACCATATTAGAAATGAAAATAAAAATCACTCATTACCCACAGCCCAAATAATTACTATTAATAGTTTAGGGCATTTCATCCTACTATTTTCCCCCTTTCCCTCCCATTCCCTCCCTTTCTTCCTTCTTCTTGCCCTTTTCTCTCTCCTCTCTCTATAGAGCACGAGGTGGGGGGCCAGGCATATATAAATGTTTATATATAAACATAATTGATATAAAATATATATAATATTGTGTCTTGCTTATTTAACATAATGTGGTATTCTCCATATTATTAAAATCTTTTGAAAACGTAACTGTGAATGACTGCATACTATTCCATCACAGATATGTACCATGATTTAGTGAACTGTTCAATACTGTTGGCCCTTGGAAGTTGTCACTACCCAAATATTAATAGTAGTAAATAAGACAAAGTCTTTGTTCTCTGGGAGCTTGCATTTTAATGTAATATGGTATACCTTCCAGGGTAGAGTACCTCAAAGGACTGTTATGAAAATTAAGCAGTAGACAACACCTATTATATTGGGCGATGGCATGTGAGGCAAAGACAGAGTCTGCCGGGAAAGCCCTTTGGCACTATGCTACGAGGTCATACAAGTCACACCTCTTTCCTGGTGTGGGGAAGGGTTGGGAGCACTTCTCCCTCTGGAGTGGTGGTGCATTAAGTCATGATCAGAGATGAGTACCCTAGCACTCTACTTTTCTCTCTTTTTTTTTTTTAACTTCTTTTTTTTTAGAGATGGGGTCTCACTGTGTTGCCCAGGCTGGCCTCAAGCGATGCTCCTGCCTCATCCTTCTTAGTAGCTGGGACTGAAAGTGCATGCCACGGCACCGGGCTTACTGTACCTTTCTCTTGCTTGCAGCAATGACAGCAGGAAGCCACCGGCTCTCCCTGGTGTCCATTAACAGGAAAATGACATCGTGGCTTTCGATGAGCTGCTCCAACTGCTCCACATCCCTGCGGGCTTGCTCTAGGGTGACACTGGAGAAGTTAACGGGATGTCCAGGCATGGGGATGCTCATGTTGAACCCTCTGGCATTCTACGGAAACACCCAGATATACTTATGTATTAGGTACAGGCAATATCTCAGAGCCCACGCTTCCCCACAGCTACTAGCATGTATACATGGTCACCTGTACCAGAAATTTCCCTGTGCACGATTATGCTGATTTTCCCTCACCCTATCTGTGCCCCCCACCTTCTTCACCTGTGCATCCTAGACCACCTCAACCTGTCACCCAGGGCCCCTGAGGCAGGATAAGGCAGCAAGCAGAGACATATGCATCATAGTTCCAGAATAGACGAGGGCACTTCCCATCTGAGGTCAGGAGGACACTAGAGAAAACTGTTTATCTATGGCCCTTTCCTACCATCTGAGGCCAAGAAACCTGTCACAACACCCTCTGCCTGCTCAAGTTCCCTCTTTCCAGACAGGCTGTCTTTCTCTTCTTGCTCCCAAATTACCCTCCCCTCCATTTCCTTAGTGTATAACATCTCCAAATGGGGTGTTCTAGCAAAAATAATTTAATAAATTCACATAAGGTTAGAACGACTGATAGTCATGCCTTAATCCTCTCAGGAATATAAGCATTTTTTAAAAACTTTACTTGCTAACTTACAGCCAGAAATATCTACTAATGAGTGTGTTGATACTGGAGGAGGGGAGAAGGGGTTGGGGTGGGTGATAGTAGAGTGTGATATAGAAGTGAGGCTTCATTCTCTGTCCAAAAGTAGAAGCTGCCCAGCAACCTGAGTTCTCCTGAACTGTAGGGACTTAGGATTTTCCCCAAGGGCTTTAGAACAGCTCTAATTTACCATGTGCCCCTTGATGACTCCAGAGAGTCTCAGCACATTAACAGTGAGTCACATATGGGTGCTAAGGAAGCCAGGGACACTGACTTTCCATGGAAAAAAAAGTGCTCTAGAATCACAAACTGCACCCTTGGCTACCCCCTGCATACCCATGGTCACAGGTGAGTGCGTGAAAACATCAGCTTTTTCATTCATTTTCCCAAACCCCTCACCTACTGGAAAAATAGCCCAGGGGCAAGACAAGTAGGTCTTTTTACAATGGAAAATCTGATTTGTAGATTGTAGATATTTTCTCCTTATCATCAACTTAAACCTAACCCCTGGAATTCAAGAAAGAGATAGCAACAATTTCAAAAAGAATCAGAAAGAAAATTATAAGTAAAGCAGGAAAGGGCACTAGGCAGAAAGGACTTCAGAAAGAAGAAAGTTCTCAACCCGGTCCCTTTTAACAATAACACCATCACAAAGACAGCTATCAGGATATCATCAATTCACTAAGTATCATACTTCTACCGTGTACCAAATACTATAATAAACAACAATAAAAACAACTACAGTAATAATAAGACCTTAACAGCTCACTGGCATATTACAACTGACAAAGCATTTTAAATGGTGGTAGCTTGATCCAAAAAGCTATTATGTACATACATTTTAATGACACCAAGATGGAAGCATAATTATCCAATGCCAATTCTAGACTTTCAAATAATACAGTAATTGATCCTTACCCACATAAACTTTGTTAACCTAAATGAATCTCTACGTGCTAAAATTTCAGCCAGTAAGCTGACGTAGGAGCCCAGCAGTTAGGTCCACACCCTGGAGACTGGAATTCAGCAAATTTCAACACAGTGGTTTTCCACCTTGTCTGTATGTTAGAACCATCTAGAGAGTTTTAAAAATTCCTAATGCCTAGGCTTTTCCTCAGAACATTTAAATTGGAATCTCTGAAAGTGAGCCCAGGTATCAATATTTTCTAAAACTCCCCCGATGATTCAAAGACATAGCCGGGGTGAGGTGGAACACAAAATACAGTACACAGCTCTCACATGTACAGTTCAACGCATTTTGACAAACTGCAGATTAACCACTGCACACACCTATCAAGTTGAAGAACATTGTGGGGCCTGTGGCTTAATTTGACCCAACAAAAGGACAGGATATAAAGGGGAAAAGAAGACACAGAATACTCCCATGACCCCAAAACATGCTCTTGTGCCCCTGCGTACTCAGTCCCCACCACCCCTGGACAGCCGCTCTTCTGACTTCACAAGCCACAGACTAGTTTTGCCTGTTCTAGAGCCTCATGTAAGTGATATCCCGGAGCGCATTCTTGTTTGTGTTTGGCTTCTTTGGCTCGGCATAATGCTTCTGAGGTTCATCCACACTGTTCTATATTGACAGTATGTTCCTTTTTGTTGCATGACTATATCACAACTTGTTTATTCATTCTCCTGTTAATGGTGATTTGGGTTATTTCTGCATTTTGGCTAGTATGAATAAAGTTGCCTATGGACATTTCTGCATTAGTATTTTAGTGTATATATGTTTTCATTGCTCTTACGTAAATATCAAAAAGTGTACTTTCTGGGTCATTAGGTAGGTGTCGGTTTAATTTCATGAGAAACAGCCAGAATTAATTTCTAAAGTGGTTGTTTTACTAGCAAAGTATGAGAGCTTTGGTTGCTCCACAGCCTGACAACATTTAACATTGTCAGTCTTCTTAATTTTAGCCATTTTAGTGGGTGTGTAAGGATGTATCTCCATGGTTTTAATTCATATTTCCCTGATGATTACTGATGTTGAGCATTTTCATGTGTTCACTGGCCATTCATAGATCCTTACTATGAAGTAAATACCTGTCCAAGCCTTTTGTCGCTTAAAAAAAAAATAAAGCTGGTTTGTCTGTTTTATTTTTGAGTGGTAGGAGTTCTTTACATATTCTGGATAAAAGGTTTTTGCCAAATATATGAACTGTAAATGTTTTCTCAGTTTGGTCTCTTAATGGCATTTTTTGAGAAGCAGAAGTTTTAAATTTTGATAAAGTAAAAGTTATAAAATTTTTCATTTATGGTCAGTATTTACTAGGTCCTAAGAAATCTTTTCCCATCGCAAGACCACCAAGATGCTTTCTCTAAGAAGCTTTATAGTCTTAGCTTTTATCTTTACTTCTATGGCCTTTCTGGGTGTCACTTAGGGGCTCAGCGTATCCAGTGAGCTCTCTCCACTCTGGAGAGTTGGGATTCCAATGTCTCCCAGCCTTGCGGGAGCTCTGGAATCTCTGTTTTGCTCACAGCTCCCCAGCGGCATTTTCTGCCCAGGCTTAAAGAGTCATGTAAAGAGTAACTCTGTAAAGTTACTCTTTACATGTAAAGAGTAACTCTGTAAAGAGTCATGCCTTGAGTATGTGCAGCTCACTATTGTGTCAAACACTCAAGGTGCTGCCAAGGCAGTTTTCTAAAGCTCCTCTGCATAGCTCCCTCACGTCTGGTACTATATCCTCCAAATTCCAGCCACCTCAGCTGCTTTGAACTTTGTTTCCTCAGCTCATCAAGACCAAGAGTATCTCCTTGGGCTTCCATGGGCTCTGGCATGGGCCAGAGAGTGCCTCCATGTAATGAGCTGGGTCAAATCTTCCTTCTTGCCCTATCTAGGACGACGGTCTCTCACTGCCTACTCACTGCCTGAAAAGAGTTATTTTATGTGTTTTCCCCAGTGCATAACTGTTTATGGTGGCAGAGCTTAGTCCACTATCAGTTACTATCAAAGTTGGAAGCAGATGTCCAGAGCTGGGTTTTAAAACCTCAAGTGTAGCTCCATAATCCATGTCTTAAAAAATATGGTGATCTCAAATAGTCAAATTTGATTTATAAAACATAAATTGTTTTCTTATTCAATTAACTCAACCGCAAGATCAGTCATGGTATTTGTAGTGGAACAGTTATTTTAACTTAATTTTACCACAGCATTTTTTAAGGCACTTGGAAAGGTCAATGTGACACCTATATCCTGGAGTGCAGGAATTACTCAAGGAATACCATGCAGATAAAAGTCAAGAGTTTCTTATGAACTGGGCTTTGAGTTACATGAGGCCTGGGGCCAGAAGATAGTTTGGGTCAAGTATATTTTAGAGCAAAAGCCAAAAGTCAGACTTTCTAGTTCTGAGGGAGCATTAAAGGTTGTCCAGGCCAGCCATCCAATGAAACCACCCTGTCTCTGAGGTCTTCCACCCAGGGGAGGCTGGGTGAACGGTGCTCATGACCTTCTGGTACATTCCTTTGCACTTTCCTGTGAATGTATTATTTTAAAATTTAAAATGTTTTAAAGGGTTTATCACCCATTACTTTTTCCAAGTCAAATGTCACTAGACTTCCAGCATGGAGATTACAGTTTTTCAATAACTGAACAAGTGACGGATAACATAAATTATGTAACCTTGCATTAATAGAATGGATCTCTCTAACTTTTCCAGGTAACCAGGCATCTTGGAAGTTTGCATTTAATATCCCTCTTAAGGGTGCGGTGGCTCACACCTGTGATCCTAGCACTCTGGGAAGCCGAAGCGGGAGGATTGCTTGAGCTCAGGAGTTCGAGATCAGACTGAGCAAGAGCAAGACTCCGTCTCTACGAAAAATAGAAAGAAATTAGCCAAACAACTAAAAATAGAAAAAATTAGCCAGGCATGGTGGTGCGTGCCTGTAGTCCCAGCTACTCGGGAGGCGGAGGCAGGAGGATCGCTTGAGCCCAGGAGTTTGAAGTTACTGTGAGCTAGGCTGACGCCACGGCACTCTAGCCCAGGAAAAAGAGTGAGACTCTGTCTCAAAAAAAGAAAGAAAGAAAATATACCTCTTAACTTGAAGAGGCCACTTTTCATCCCTGGAATGTTCTTCCTGGCCTCTGGCCTCTCCCACCACTCTCTGCTCCTTGCCACCCTCCCCCAAACCAGTCTCCTAATCAATGCCTTCAGAGCTCAGTCCAAATGTCACTTTCACAAAAAGGCTTTCCTTGGCCCCTCAGACATGCACAGGTCCCATTCTTCTGTATTTCCTTGGCATTCTTGACTTACCTCCTTAGCACTTAATATTTCAATTGTAATTAAATAATTACTTACTTAATTATTCAATATGTAGTTCCTCAACTAGAATATAAGCTCTATGAGGGCAGGGCCATGACTTGTTCACTTAGGCCTCGCCTTTTCATGCCTGGTGTGAGGAAGGGGATGTAAATAACTGTTGCATGAAAAAACTACATTAAATCAAACATATAAAAAGAAATTCCTTAAGCCTGGCTAACCAATAAGTTAAATAGTTTCACAAGTATTTTTCATGAATTTGATGAATTACACTAGTACTTTGATGGGTTCTGTATATTATCTACTATTATTTATAAGGCATGATGAATAAAAGTATAAAGGACTTGGACTCTGGCCTCAAGAACTTAATAACCCAACTGGGAGAACAGAGTAACATGATGTACGTGCTAAGGAAGAGGCTTGAAACTGGTGGGCTGATGTTTCCAACAAGAGCTAGACTTGGTCCCTCAGGCCCAGCATGGTAGCCTTTGCTCCCACTTTAGCAGTCTTCCTTGACCACTATGCTTCAGCCACCCGGATTTTCTTTCAGTTCCACAAAAGCACCATGCTTCTTCCTACCTCAGGTGATTGCAGAGACAGCTCTGCTACCCTCAGTCCAGCTAGCTCCCACTCATCCTTCAGGGTTTCGTTTCCTTAAGAAGTCTTCCATGACTCCACCCCCAGCCCCAGTCTAGGTCAGGCCTTCCTGTTATACATTCTCATGGCAACTGAGCTCCTGCTTCATGCGCATATTATAATTATAATTATTCGTCAAACGATTTGTTAATGACCATCTCCCTCACTAGACTATGAGTTCCATTCAGGCGAGAGGGAGCTATGTCTGCCTAGATTCCCTGTCCCTGGCACACAGTAGGCCTTAAGTAAATTATCTGATAAGTGTGTATGTAATAGAATAGCTCAACAAATAAATAGAAGGAATTGTACTGGGTCATTGACAATGGCTAGGATTTGGGTAAGCAAAAATTTCAAGTAACTACTAAGTGGCAGAGCTCAGATTCAAAACCCAGTCTGTCTGGGCCGCAAGGGTTCATAATATTCTCCAGTGATACACTGAATTATTCTTCCCAACTCTGCACTTCCACCCTGTAGTAGAATTATGTATCCACACCCTTTGCAACATGATTTTGCAGAATCTTGTACTAGGAAGGCAGAGTATACTGACCGATCCACTGACTTTGGGCTTGGCCCTGTGACTGGCTTTGGCAATAGAAATGGAAGACACTGCACTGTGCCATTGTTGAGCTAAGACTTTAAGAGGCAGATAATCACCAATCCTTTTAAGCTTACAGCTTCTACCATAAGAAGAGCAGGACCCAGATGACTGCTTCTCCTTTAACCTGGATTTTGAAACAATGACATATATAGCAGGTCAGAACTTGACTCAACACCTCAGCAGATAAACCACATCCAACCTGCACCCTGATGGGCATGAAATAAACGTTTGCAATTGGAAGCCACTGAGATTTTGGGATTGTGTGATATGCAATATTGGCACTAATATGCCTTCTTAATGACAAGGTTGCAACTTTCTCTTATTTCTTCTGGCATCCAGCACATAGCTGGGTACATAGTGGGTGGCTGATCAATACTATTGAATTAAACCCAATAAATGATGTTCCTCAGGGACATTGGTGAAATGGACAGACCATTAATGTTGCTTCTAAAGCAAAGCTTTCTAAAATGAAGGAATTTAAAAGTAAGTGGCTAAAGAGAAAAACTTTGAGAACGTGGGCTTTTTTTTGGCTAGGGCTGAGAGCCCCTTGTGACATTTTAAGTATAAGCAGATGCTTTGCAGACACCTGATCTAACTCCTGCCAGATAATTGATTAAGCATTCAAGCTGCAGAATCTCTTCTGCTGGTTGACCCTAGGGGAAAAAAAACTCCCAATATTTTGAATCACATGAGCTGAATGACTTTTTTCTTGTTATCTGATGTTTCTAAAGTAAATGATGTAACTCAAAAACAAGAAGCAAATAGAGCAAAAAGCTAAAACTTTCAGCACAATCTTTCTCCCACAAAGACTTGCATTCAATTTAATTTCATAAACCTATACTAAGTAACTATCATGTTCTGGTAATGGAGGAAAAGTATTATCTTAGATCCAAGCTGCTATAAATTCCTTTGGAACTGGGCAGCATATAAAAATATACTTACCCCCAAATTCCGCAACTTAAACTCATACAATGCTTTGCAACTTACAAAACATTTCTTCACATTCTTCATTTTTCATTTTCGCAAGAATATATGAGATTTTTGTCATGTTTTTTAATCCTTATCTCTGAGAAGAGGAAACAGAGGCCCAGCCACATGAAGAGCACCTGGTAGGGACTGACAGATGTTTGAATCTGTTTCACCAATACCACAGAGCCTCATTCCCCAAGACTTAAACTTTTAAAGATATGGGAGAAAGTCTCTGACGTTCCCCTGAAGCATCAACATACCACTCCGGGGAATATTTTCTGGAGCCGGTCTGCTGCAGCCAGAGCCTTTGGCCTGCCACTTCCTAGGCAATCTTCAAACTCATAGAGAGGCTGCCTCACAGGATTGGAGTAGGAGATCTTGGCATTGTCCACAAATGTGATGTGTCTGACGCCCCAGCCCTGTGTGGGAACAGATCAGGGTGTGTTTCTGGTGACTCTTTCACAGGGTGTGTAGCTCTTGAAATCTCAAAAGAGGAATTGCTTTGGAGCAGCTTGAGAACCTTAAAATACAGGAAACTTCAGAATTTGAATTGTACAAATTCAGTTTTTGATAAACAGAATATTGACTTCCCTTAAAAAACAAAATAATTATATACTCAGTGCCTAGTTTCCTGCAGTAATGAGATTTTTTTAAATGCAAGAGTGGATCTGGGCCGGGCACGGTGGTTCACGCCTGTAATCCTAGCTCTCTCAGAGGCCGAGGTGGGCGGATTGTTTGAGCTCAAGAGTTAGAGACCAGCCTGAGCAAGAGCAAGACCCCGTCTCTACCAAAAATAGAAAGAAATTAATTGGACAGCTAAAAATATATAGAAAATATTAGCCGGGCATGGTGGCACATGCCTGTAGTCCCAGCTACTCGGGAGGCTGGGGCAGGAGGATCGCTTGAGCCCAAGAGTTTGAGGTTGCTGTGAGCTAGGCTGACGCCACGGCACTCTAGCCCGAGCAACAAAGTGAGACTCTGTCTCAAAAAAAACTCACTTTGTTGTTTAGGGAACAATTCTATATTCTTAGAAATAGTTTTCATGATTTCATAGACTTCAATTATGTCTCCTATAAAGTTTTATAGAACCATACAATTTTAAAGTTGGATGGGATCTCTAAAATCCTTAGTCCAATCATCTTGTTTTACAGATAAGGAAACTGAAGCCCAGGAAAGGTAAGTGGCTTGACTAAGGTCATACATCTGGTTAATGGTAAGGATTGAATGAGATCTCCACACCTGTAACCAAATGAAGATGTCTACTTTTGGGGGGTGGGGTAGGGTGGGTGTACTTTGGTTAATGGTAAATAAGCATAGAAACCTAAGAAAAGTTCTGCCATGACTGGCTAGAAAGCAAGATTCTGCTCTATCTTACTTCCATATTCTTTCATTAGAAACTGTTAAGACTCAATTAGAATGACGGGATGGCTTTAGAGGACAGTCAACAAGGATCCAAGATTCTTTTTCAAAGTTGAGAATGACAGGCCAGAATCCACCTTTCATAAGCACAGTGTAGACTGGGCATTTGTAGACCACTGGCAACCTTTTGGTCTACCCATCCAGTTTTGTAAGTTATTTTCACCAGCTAAGCAACCCACCATGGAGGGGAAATAAAGGTATGGAAAATCCAAACGTCATTTGTGCTTGCTTTGGGGATATTTATTTGTGAAGTATTTTTGCACTCCTGAAAGCAACTTCTGAGTGGACAGCAAAGAAGGCAGTCTGGAAACGTGCTGGGCAGTGGTAAGAAAGCCAGATACATTACAAACATGCCATAGGTTAGTAACATGCAGGTGTATTTGCACACTTAACTTTTGGCTTCCTGGAATACTATACAATTTAAATGGCTAATCTGCAAAGATTAAAGAAAATTACAATACTCAATGCTGATGACAATATGGTGGTGAGAAAACCATCTTACTGGTTAAGAATGTTAAACTGGTGTCATTTTTCTGGAAAATAATTTGGCAATGTTTCTAGAATCTTAAAAATACTCATATCCTATGACCTACTTCCAGCAATTTATCCTAAGAAATAATCTGACATACTAACAAAGATGCAATCACAAAGATATTGTTTGCAACACAATTTATAATTGTAAAAAATTGTAAACAATGTTTTTGTTTGTTTGTTTTTTAAGATAGAGTCTCACTCTGTTGCCCTGAGTAGAGTGCTGTGGCATCAGCCTAGCTCACAGCAACCTCAAACCCTTGGGCTCAAGCGATCCTCCTGCCTCAGCCTCCCGAGTAGCTGGGACTACAGGTGAGCACCACCATGCCTGGCTAATTTTTCTATTTTTAGTAGAAACAAGGCCTTACTCTTGCTCAGGCTGGTCTCAAACTCCTGAGCTCAAGCAATCCTCCTGTCTCAGCCTCCCAGAGTGCTAGGATTATAGGCGTGAGCTACCGTGCCTGGCCAATGGAAACAATGTTAATGCCAAACATTAGGGGAATATTTCAGTAAATTATATTTCATCATATAAGGAGGCATATTCTGTAGCCATTAGGAAGGATTTAGCCAGGTGTGGTGGCATGCCCCCATAGTCCCAGCTACTTAGGAGGCTGAAGTGGGAAGATAGCAAGTTCATGCCCAGCCTGCGTAACACAGCAAGACCCTGTTTCCAAAAAAAAAAAAAAAAAAAAAAAATTGCTTCATAGGAAAGTATTTATAATGCTAATTGTAAAAGCAAGGGGTATTATTATATATCAAATAATATCTAACAATACATATTAAACAAACACTAGAAGGAGATAAGTAAAAAAAGTGGTAGGACAATGTGTGTGTCTTCTTTCCTCCTTTATGACTTACGCTTTACAAATTTTCTATAATGTATGTATGCTGACTTTATAATTTTTCAAACTGTTAAGAAAATCTAAGCACCTAATAATTCTAGAAGCTAGAAAGAGACAATAAAATAAATTCCACAAAAGGAAGAAAAAATTAATAAAGAAAAAAGTAGACATTAATGAATCTGAGAGCAAAACAAAATTTAAAAAATTATAGAACTAATACATAAATTAAGTATTTAGTGCTCCAAAAAGACATAAACTAGACTAGCCTCTCTGGCAAGGCTGAATAAGAGAAAAAAGAAAATACAAATATATATTAGGAATGTGGAAAGATTTTTAAAAAGATAAAGAGAAGATTTAAAAGGTGATAAGAGAATACCATATGTATTTAATGTCAATTAATTTTTAAAGTTAGATGAAATGCATGATAGTCTAGGAAAACAAATGGACTCAAAAGCGGCATAAAATCTAAAAAGGTAAGTCATCAGAGAAACAAAAGTTCCCAAAGATTCCCTGCACCCCCTGCAACCAATAAAATTCCAAAGGCATCAGGCCCAGATGGACTTATAACTGAATTTTAGCTAACCATCAAGGAACAGATAATTCATATATTTAAACTGTTCTGGAGCTTAGAAAAAGGCAGAAAGTTTTACATTTATTTTTTAAAGCTAGCATAACTCAGCTCTAAAAAATACAAAGACAGAACAAGGAAAAACATTACTTATAGACCAACTTATGAATTCAGATGTAAATTTTATAAATAAAATATTGCCAACTGAACTCCAGAGGATATGAGAAGAATAAGATACCATGGACAAATAGGGTTTATTCTAGGAAAGCTCAACATTAGAATACTTTGATTATCTTGATAGATGTAGCTGATAAAGCTCAACATTGATTTCTGATATAAATGCACAGAAACAGAAATCACCTTCTTTAACTTATAAAAAACATTTAGCAGAAAACACTATCAAAATTAACGGTAAAAACAAGAGGCATTCTCATTAAAGCCATTAACAAAACAAAGACGTCAACTCCCACTGCTATGCTCAACATTACTACGGAGTTCGAGCCAATCTTGTAAGACGGGAAAAGAAACAGATATAAATGTTAGTGAGGAATACTATCAACCTATAGAATTCAAAAGAGTCAAACAAAAAACCATTAGAACTATGAGAGCTTAGAAAAATGGCCAGATAAAGATAAACATGCAAAACTCACTATCTTTCCTATATCTCAGTAATGGTCAACTGGGAGAAAATATCTTTAAATGAAAAAAAAAAATTAAATATGTAAAAATAACATATTTAAACTAAATAAGACATGTGCAAAGCCTATATAAAGAAAAAGCTACTAAAAGACAAAAATCATCTAATTAAATTAACAGATAAACCATACTTCTGGAACTAAGGATCAACGTCAGAAAAACATCATTCCCTTCTAATTTATCGGTAAATTTATTGTAATTCCAACTAAAACAGTGAGTAGGAATGTAGGAATAAAAGATAGATCAATGGGTAAAAATAGAGAATCCATAAAGAAACTCAGGTATATAAGGGGATTCAGCATTTGATAAAGATGGAAAAATGATGATTTTCCATTTTTTCACAAAGATCATTAATTGACAAAAGAAATAAACTCACATTCACTAATTAAATAAATGCATACTAGAACAATAAAATGTTACTTGTTAACTGACTGTGTTGACAAAGATTTTAAAAGTTGATATTATCCAATTTTGGCAAGTGTGGAAAAAAGCTCTGTCTCTCAGGTGTTTCTAGGAGTACAGACTAGTATAATGTTTTTGGAAGGTAATTCAGTTTTAGAAAAGTTTTTAAAATAATATATATATATAAATTGTACATTGTAACATAGCAATTCCACATCTAGGGCTTTTTTCCTAAAGAGATAATCCTATGGATATGTAAACATACAAGTATAAGGATCTTCTCTAATAGAGAATAGAGTCTCTAATAGAAAAAAATGGAAAATAACCTAAAATTGATTAAATAAACTGAGGACATAGTCATATAACAAAATACCACAGATACATAGTATGGAAACATAGAAAGATAGCCACGATTATTTTTCTTATCAAGTTAAAATAAAAACCTGTTACAGACAGTATGCTATGATGCAATTTTTATAAATATAAATACATAACAGCAAAGCTCACAGTCTCTCTGTTTAAATAAAAATGCCAACATAACATCTGGGAAAGATACTGCTGCACACTGATCCATGAAGTCTGCTTAATTCTGGGAAGTGGGACAGGGGATGGGTGTGGAGGAAGATTTTCTGATTCTAGCTTTTAATAAAAGCATATATTTCTTTTCTAACTAAAAAGACACTGAAAAAAGAAAAAAGGAAGGAAGGGAGAGAAGGAGGGGAGGGGAATCTGGGAGATGGAAGACAATCATGTAGAGGGAAATAAGAAGAGAAGCCACAGCTTCAAAGGTGCCACTTGGCCCCCATGAACTTACCACTAATGTCCTAGCTACATTACAACCCAAGGTGCCAGCTCCAAGCAGCAGACATTTGACAGACACGACCTTGTCCAAATCTAAAGTAGGGACCAATCTCCAACACATCAATTTGAGATTTAGATCCACTGATGACTCGGCTAACCTAGAAAATGAGAGATTTATTTATTCAGTCAGTCACTCATTTATGGCCCCCAAAATATAAAGTAGTTATGGGAGAAAACAAGAAATAAACAATAAGGAAATTGGGATCAAACGGCAAAGATGGAGCTTGAGGGTAAGCAGGCTGGAGAAAAGTTCCCACATGGAACTCATGCCATTGTAGTCATCTGCAATTGCTAGTGGTGGGCCACAAATTTGACACTGAGCTCCCAGAAGCCAAGGTGAAAAGAAAAGCATGCCCAGTTCTAACAGTCATTGTGTCCATGAACAAAAACACACCAACTGATTAAAAGGAAAGTTTTTCCAGGTACTAAAAACAGAAATTTCTCCCATGTCTCCCTAATAAAGAATGCACTTACATTCACCCTCAAACACAATGCTGGTTTCCCTGCAATACTTCTTATAATATCCTTCAATGTGGGCCAATAGGACAAGGCCAAAGAGTAATAAATAAAGAACTAAAAGGCAGTACAGGTATACCAGTCTGAGAGTCTGAACTTGAAGCAAGAACAAAATTTAGAATGTCTAGAAGAACAGATGAACTGTGTGCCCTTCAGGGTATCTACAGTTAATACTAATTCTTACGTCCAAGCTTAAGAGTTAGGTGGCAGAGAGCAGAACATACTCCCTGTCCATATAAATGGCAGCCCTGAACTGAATTATGTAACTTGGTGTCAGCCTGACAGAACCTGGTGTGTGAAAAGCCCCACTAGAGAAAACAGCTTCCAAAATATACCTTTTAGGGTCCATACATTCACTGAGGTTCACCATCCTCGGTCCCATGCCTCCTTTCTGGTTCTTTTCCCATCCAACCGCTTTAGGACAATCTTAAGGCAAATAAAATACTAAGTTTAATGAAGGAGGAGAGAATACAAACCAACAGGTCAAGCAGCAAGCTTGCTTAAAAAAGGTCAACAATCACAACGGCCCAGGCGATGTTAAGCTTTTAGTTCACTTCTTTCTCAGGGAGGTCCCAGGTCCTGAATTTTCATCTACTTGCCGCACTTACCTCCTCATCTTCCTCAACTACTGGAAATCTTGTTTAGAGACCATCAGACTGGAGCATAGTCTTCCTGTACAGGAGCTTCTGAAATAGCCTTCAACTCTGGCCCAACTTGCCTCAACTTCTGACATTACTGGAAGTTGCCTCCAAAAAGACATATCTGGGGGAAGCATAACCCTGTGGCAGGCTCTCTATCTAAGGGACAAACTTTCCATTGAAGTTCCTACTAGGAGTTGACCCACTAAGTTCAGCATGTCCCTTCTGTTGCCCATCCTTACCAGGTCCCTCTCCTTGGCCTCTCAACACCTGTGTGCGGATCACAGTCCAAGGCGACTGTCCCTGTTATGCTGCACTCTCCTTTAAGCTCATCTTTATCCATTCTGAATTAGCCCTTTCCTGACTTATCCATCCTCCACTGCCCTCTCTTAACCCCCTCTACGGGAGCCGCTGTAACTCCAATTCCAGCAGTTCCCGAAGCACACCCTACTTAATGTTCTCCGAGGATAAAGATCCTGTGGCTAAACAGATCTGGGAAATGTTGCTATACTTAAATCTGTATTTTATATCCAGCCCCCACTACCACCCAAATCTGGAAGTTCATATTGCACATGAGAGAGATAAAAGTTCCGAGAAGCCTGCAGAAAGAAACCACTTTATTTGATTTGGCTCTGTGTTTCCCAAAATTGTATAGCTCTCCATATCTCCCTCCATCATCCCACAACAATTAAAATCTCATGGGACACATTCAGGGAAATGCTGTGCTATTCTATTGTTGCAAAATTCTCTTAAAGATCTCAATTGCTCTGTACACCACTCCTGTTACCTCTTTGCGTTAATGGAAGCCTTGCTCCCCGTGGTGGTACCACAGCCTTGTAGATCTCACTAGTTGGGGCTGCCCATTCTCTTCCACTCCCTACGTTTCAGGACCTCCGTCACTCTCCCTTTCTCATTGACTCTCACTGCTCACATCAAAGCCTCAATTCCTAACCAGGGAATTCACCCAGCCACCGGCTATACTTCCAGCATCACCTCCAATGTCTACCTTAAGTAACAGTCTCTGAAGGAACAGAAACTCCTTGACTTAAAGGTAAGATGTATGATTAGCAGGAGGAATTTTATTTTTTGTTTCTAATTGTACACTGGTTTTCTTTGGCTGTACTCCTACTGTTTTTTTTTTTTTTTTTTTGAGACAGGGTCTCACTCTGTCATCTAGGCTAAAGTGCTGTGGCATCATCATTGATTTGGCTCTAGTGATTCCTGGGCTCAAGTGATTCTCCTGTCTCAGCCTCCTGAGTACCCACTACACCCAGCTAATTTTTCTAATTTTTGATGAGACAGGGCCTCACTCTGCTCAGGCTGATCCCAAACTCCTGGCTTCAAATAATTCTCCCGCCTCAGCCTCCCAGAGTGCTGGGATTACAGGCGTGAGTCACCACGACCAGCCATCATACTCCTACTTTTAGATTTCCATCAAATCTCTATTTTCCCTTCTTTGGGAAATTTTTTAGGTTTTGAAGTTTGTTTTTGTTTAAAACATTATTGCTCTATATAATTATGGGATCTAGAAGGTATTGATTTCCTTTACACAATCTTTTGATTCTGGGATAGAATGACGAAAAGGAAACCATGGAGCCAATTATCCTTGAAAGTACCTAGGCCCCAGTTTGGCTGGGGGTGTCACTCACAGCAAGAAGCCAGAAAACAAATGTCCCTTCCCATTTTAAATCAGGCACTACGGTGTGGCCCTTTTTTTAATGCCATGAAAAACTAAAACTGAAATAATAGACTTGAGTTCTTAAAGTGGTTAAGACTTTAGAACTTTTTTTCTGGGGGAAAAAAAAAAAGTTTAGACCTGCTATTGATGCATATTTTGTTTGATTTTCTTACTGTTTTTATGTTAAATAAAAAACACTTCTCTAATTCATAGCACGGGAACTTGACAAGAATTACAAAATCACAGCCTAGTACCATAATCAATAACTCCAGCCTATGTTTTCTCCTGTTACAGATAAAAAATTATAAGACAAAAACAAAGTATCATTTCAAACGAAAAGATCTCTATACTCAAAAGGCTACAGCCACTGGGCTGGTGCCTAGAATCCCAGGTACTCAGAAGGCTGAGGCAGGAGGACTGCTTGAGTGCAGGAGTTCAAGGTCAGACTGGACAACATAGCAAGACCCCCATCTCTTAACAAAAAGATGACAGCCATTTCTAAGAAAATTAGATGTAGCTTAAACTTAATAATGAAAAAAATACATTATGATGATAATATTTAATTTATAATACTTGCCTCCATATAACCTATACCCATACAACATACCCCAAATTAATAAGAAAATATTTTTTTAGGGGAAAATTCAGTGCTGTTCTCCCACAGTTGGGCAACCAGGAGGAGCACATGAAGGATTAGAGTTAAGATGAGTGAGGGGATCCTCCCACCCCCGTAGTGTCTGCTGCCTCTTTTTGCCAGGTGCCAGAATAGTCTATACCAGCTATAGAGAATGGGCATGGCTACACCCAGAGGGAGCAAAAGATGATATAGGATATTTAACACTTCATATACCATTGCAGCTATGGTATGTCTTAGAAATACTCATAAGCACTACCATACTAATACCTTCAGCTCACATTATGATATAGAATAACTATTCATAAAGTTTTATTTACAGCTAAGAGGGAAAATATTAATTTATACAAAAAACAAGAAATTCATCTGCCTTTCCTAAATAATCTACATTCAGTATCAAGCATAAAGAAGACATATTGAAAGCATTATTAGACAATAGAAAACCTCTTTCAAATGGAAATGTACGGTGGTTCCTGAGTTTGAATGTCAGCACTATCAAGCATTTAGCCTTATTACAGAGAGTAGAGAGTAAGAGTAATTCAGTGACTTTATCACAAAAGTGAAAAGAAAACTATTTCCCTGCAGGGTGGTTGGCAGGATTAAGTGAGTGCCACTGGAAGGTGCCTGGCATCCTGCAGGCATAGAGACCAAAACCTCATCACTTTTTATTAACTCTTGCCTTATTTCCCTAGACTCCCTTTAAGTGTGGTTTAATAAAACAAAGGTATGGCATGTAAGTTAACATTACATAGAAGCTATTTTAGAATGTGCCAGAAGAGGGTGCTAAATCCAATGCAAATATCTAAAGACAGCAGAAAGGCAAAGGATTTCTTAAGGCTCTAAACTAAAAACAGCTTCCTCCTTTGACTGATCAAGCAGAGTACTCTGTCAATCTTTCCCAGAAGTCTGTTTAAGACATACGTGCTGGGCATAGAATTGCTGATAGAATGTCACCCGAGCCAATCCTGAATCCTGACTTTTGCACTCCAGGAAAGATATGAATATCTCAGATGAGATTTTGACAACCCCTTCCCTCCCACACACACACTTCAAGGCATACCTTCAGTGGATTAAAGAAAGAAATACGCCTTGGAACTATGCGGATGTTGTGAGGAACAAATTAAACTATATATGTGAAAGTACTCTGGAGACCATATAAGTCATATGGATATGAGAGATTATCTTGGCAAGAGGTAGAAAAGTACTAGGTTTCACATGAGATAGGAAACTAGCATAAAATAACATTTAGTAAGCATCTGTGATATGCCATTATGCTCTGTCTTTGACAGGACATGGATTACTCATAAAGAATACTCTATGTGTTGGGCATTATTATCCTTATTTTACTCAAACTTGAGTATGTATTCTATTTCTGTGACATATGTAAAAATATAAATATATATAAATGTGTGTACATATGTACGTATATATATACATACACACACATATATCTCTATAGATAAAATGTCTCAAAAAGTTTCTGAATTTACAAAACAGGAATAATAGCTGATGTCTGTCACGCAGGACTGAATGAAAATATTAAATGTGGAAGGAGAAATGGCACTTTTACTGACCAGTTTACTATATGGAGAACGGGATCGCACACAATTTTAAGTATATAATAAATAAATACGTAAGTACATTAATATTACATCCTCCAAGAATGGACAGGAATAAAGATTTTGTGCTGAACAAAAATGAAAATGAAAAGTTGGGGGAAAAAATCATCCAGATTAAAAAAACTGCCTGGAGAAAATGTCCTAGTGACAATCTTTGCCTTTGTTCCAGTCTGAATAGCAGAGCGTGCCCTCTGTTCAAAGTAGGTGTTTGTGCTGGCAAAGAGGAAGTTGCACTTTTCTCTCCCTTCTGCTGCCATTGTGAAGGGATGAAAAGAAAGAAAACCTGATTCAGTTTCTGATAAATGATAATTATATGCATTCTCAAAGACTGGCAAATTACCTGGGCTAAACGCCATTTCTGGAAGCTTCACTTCGAAGATGATGCTGTGGGTAACGTCTCTCACCCCCTGCATGGTACGGTCGCGGAAGCAAAGGACTTCAACAGACTGGAAACTGCTACTCCTGTTGTCATGCCCCGGATTTTTATTTATTTAATTTTTTTTTTTTTTAGGGAAGAAAAAAAAGGGCTCACATAAGAGCTTCAGCAAACCAGTTGGAGAGAATTCAATTCACTGTAATTATGCCTCACTGACACCCTTGGGGGATGGCCTTAACTTCTGAGAGATTTTTGAACATATTCACATATGCTTCCTCTGTCCAAGTGTTTAGAGGCTGAACAATGAATTGGCTGTGATTTCATTCTAGGTGAATTTTATATAACAATCACATTGCATATAAATAATTCAGACAAATGAATCTTTTAAATGCAGGGGAAAAATGCTCATAAGACATTACAAAAGAACCTCTAAGACATGGGTTCTTCTGGTTCCCTTTCTCCCCATCAGAACTTTCATTGTATGAAATGGCACCTCAGTTAGTAGTTAGAAGCCCATTTGCACTACACAGACTTACCACCTGGATAATTACAGATTGTATCTCTCTGGGGACAATCTATAATTTATCTATCTTCATAATTTCAAATAAACACTTTTATATAAGTAAAGCAGGGAAAGAAAATCACACAAATCCCAAGTATAAAGGAGACTGTCTCATGCCTTCTCTCAGTCATTAACCACCCCCTTTAGAAGTAACAACTACTCTAACTTCTAAATCCATACGTTGGTTTTGCCTGTTTTGAACTTTACATAAAAGAAATCATAGCACATGTATTCTTTTGGGTCCAGCTTATTTCATTCAACATTATATTTTTTAAATTCATCCATGTTGATACATGTATTAGTAGTTCATTCAGATTCACTGCAACATGGCATTCCATTATAAGGGGTACACTACAATTTATTCTTCATTTCATTATTGAAAGACACATGGGTTATTTACAGTTTTTTGGTTAAGAATAATGCTGCTATAAACATTCTTGTATATGTGTTTTGCTTGTATCTATATATGCACTTTTGTGTATACTACACTTGATAGTAACATTGCTCAGCCACAGATATTTTTAACTTTGGTAGACTGCCCAACATTTTTTCAGCAATGTTTGAGAGTTCCAATTGCTCCATATCTTCGACATACTTGGTATGCTCATTTTTGTTAAGTCCTTTTGGTGGCTATGTATTAGCATCTCATTATGGTTTTAATTTTATTTCATTGATGACTAATGATGTTGAACATCTTTTCAAATATATATTGGCCTTTTAGATACCCTCTGTTTTAATTATTTTAGGGTTAGGAAAAATGGAAGATAACAGCAATAGGAAAATTCTCTCTGAAAGCAACCCAGATAGCTGGAAGAGAGGGCTTCAGAATTTCAGTGACAGACCTCTGGCTACCCACCCTACCACAGTCTGAAATATCTTTAGCATAGTATGATCAGAGTCTGCAGCTTCCCAACAGACCTGTTTAAGGGCTCCCCAGTATGGAAATTGGATCATGACTGATTGATTTATTATCTGGTTTCCATGACAAAAATATAAAAATACATTTGGGAAAACAGAGATATAGACACAGGCAGACACACTGTCGAAAACATACAGACAAAGACAGACAGACACACTCTTGTAAATACCATCTGTGGGCTGCTAGGACCAAAAAATTCCTCAAAGGCCATCCAGGGTACTGGGCTAAGTTACAGGGATCATATACACCAATTGTTATCTGTGAACAGAAAAGACTTTGGAGTGAGTCAAGTATCATGTCAGATTCACAATACAGACATTGCTAGTACTTCCTCTTTACCTTTTATGCTTTCTGCAAAGAATTAAAAATTAGACACTTGGTAAAGGGTTAAAGGGAACAGAAGAGAGCAAAATGATCTCACACTGGACTAGAAAACTTCTTGCTGGAAGGAGCTGTCAAATTCTTCTCTGCACCCTCTGAGCCTGGCCTTGGGCCTGGCAGAGAGTAAGAACTAGATACATTTAGGAGCAAGAAAGACTGGAAGGAAGACAGGGAAGGAGGGAGAGCAGTCAACAGTCAGGACTTAGGCAGAGAAAATCCTCCCTTAAAGAAATACAATCTGTGAAAATGACTAATTTTTATGTTAATGACAAAATCAAGGAAGGGCCACTATGATGTGTAAGTCTACAGTCAGATCAAATTAAAAAGCCAGTTGCCCTTTCCCATCCCTATTCCCCCAACCCCAACTTCTGTCCGGAAAACTCTACTCAAATTAAAATACCACTTCTTCACTGAAGACTTCCCTTGGCCGAAGTAGCTACTCTGTCCTCCCTGCTTCCACAGCTCTTTGTACATTACACATAACACTTTTCACTTTTTCTGCCTCCTTCCTCTCAAAGACAATGAGTGCCCAGCAACCACATCTTGATTTCTCAATAACATTCTCCAGGAAAAGGAATCAGGGCTCTTGGGACACTTTGCTAATTCCAGGGCTCGGACAGGGAAAATAAAAGATGAGCCTGGAGCATCTTGTAGTACCAGAAAATAAGGAGGTACTCAGAAAACAAAAGGGTGGGGGCATGTCAAGGGGACGCAGGAGCCAACTGAAAGACTCTCAATGGCCAAGGTGGAAACAATTTAAGCAAAAAAATAATGTAGCTGAATTATAAGCCAAAGTATAAAATAAATATCTATGAGTCCATACTGTTGTAAGTAATGGAATAAATCAATGAAGGTGAAGGGACAAGTATTCCTTAAAGATTTCCAACAAAACATGTAGATACTGCCCTCCTTCAGGAAACTTAATCCTTCCTGTCCTTGAGAGTGGCCGGGCTCAGTGAATCACATCCAGAGGAAAAAACAATAAATTTCCAGTGGAAAAACCTGGCAAATATTACTTTAACCGAATGATCAATTTAACATTATCCAGAATGTCATGTGGATATCAGGTACCCTGGATATAATGTCATGACAAGGGTACTTCACTCAGTGGTATTCTTTCCAAAAACCCATAACCCCAGTCTAATCACAAGAACACATCGGACGAACCCAAATTAAGGGACATTCTACAAAAATAACTGACCAATATTCCTCAAAACTGCCAAGATCTAAGATCATCAGAAACAAAGAAAGTCTGAGAAACTATTACAGACCAGAGGAGACTAAGGAGACCTGACAACAAAATGCAATGTGGCATCCTGGATTGGGTCCTGGAACAGAAAGGGGACGTTACTGGGAAAACTGGTAAAATCTGAATAAACTCTAGAGTGAATAGTAATGTACTAATGTTGGTTTCCTAGTTTGGACAAATGTACCATGGTGACGTAAGGTAATAACATTAGAGAAAACTGAAACTGGGTGAAGGTATATGGGCACTCTCTGTACTGTCTTTGCAACTATCTTCTGTAAATCTAAAATTATTCCAAAACTAAAAGTTAAGTTCTTTTAAAAAAAAAAAAGACAATGAGCATCTAGAGAGCAGAGTATTAGTGAGGGACATATAGAAGATATATAGTGAATGTTCATTGAATGATAAAAAGAAGGATGAATGGACAAATGGGTGGATGGGTGGGTGGAAAGGGAAGCAGATGGGAGTTGGGTGAGAGGGACAACGGCTGGCAGAGAACCATAAATTAACTCCCAGTTCCCTTTATAAGCACAGCATGGGTTAAATAAAAAGATGGCTGATACATTTTTGTTTAATCTATTATAGATCCAGTTAGTTCTGTAAGGATGGAATCAGCCCAAACACTTCCATTTATTCCCCATAATGCTTGGTATAGTGTCAGTCATAGAGCAGGAGCTTAACCAATATTCAGACAAAGGAAAAAAGAAAGAAAGAAAGAAAGAATACCCATAACCCCACTATCTAGAGAGAACTGCTATTAACAGCTTGGTATATAACCACCCATAATCATATTCTTTGGATAAATATATTTTAATTACTATAACTTTTGAAGAAAAATGAGATCATGCTATAAATATTGTTTTCTATCTCTTATTACATTGTAAATTCTCTTCCATGCCAGTAAATGTTTTTCTACAACCATTGTATGTAGTGGCTGAATAGCATTCTACTGTACTGATACACCAAACATTTTTCTATTTCCTTTTGAAGGACAATTCAATAGTCTTCATCTGTGCTCAATAAATCTCTGAAATGAATTTTACTACTGTTTTATCAGATAATTATTGCATTATTTCAAAGATATTCCTTAAAAATATTTGCTACCTTCTCCGTTATATAAAATTTTCATATTCCTAAAATTGAAGCCTTTTCTGTCTAGATGCATTTTCATGTTTTAAATGCAAATAGATTCACAGTTAATACAAACAAGTTCATATTTACAGTTAATCTGTCAGGAAATACAGGATACCTTTATTTGAGATTTCCTTTTCCACAGGGAGATAAAACATCATTAGCATCCAGAGAACTTCTAAAAATAGAGCTTACCAAGACTACTCTAAACTGGGGCAAAGTATTTAACCCCTCGAAGCCTCAGTTTTTCAATCTGAACCATGGGGGAAAGAATATTACCTATCTGATAGAGTTGTAGTGAGGATCAAATGAGCTGATACTGGACATGAAAAGTCCAGCATACACACAGCACTACTAATATCATTATCGATGATAGACTCAGAATCGCCAGTGTAAGCCCAGCAATCCATCCACGTCTTTATCTGTATCAAGCTTCTGAGTAATTCTGATGCAGTTGGTTCAGTCCATGGGCTAGAATTTGGGAACCATTTGAGTAAGTGGTCTTATAGACAAAAAATAAAAAAACAAAAAACTCCGGGCTATTTTTCATTACCTCAAAAATTCTGAATTGGCTCTATGTCTTCCCAAGTTCCTCAAAATGTGGCCCATGCACCGACAGCATGCATGCATAAGCATCCCCTGAGAGCCCGTCAGAAAGGCAGAATCCCAGGCCCCTCTCCCTGACCTGCTGGCTCACAGTTTGCATTTTAAAAAGAACCCAGGTGATTCTTATGCCCATGGATGGTTCGGAAGCACGGCTCTGATCCTTACCCCTCAATTGACATGGTTCTCAAACTTGTTTTTTTTTTTAATATAAAGAAAAAAGTTTATTTAGCTCACAGTTCTGGAGGCTGGGAAGTCCTAGAGCATGGTGCTGGCATCTGGTGAGGACCTTCATGAACATCACAGCATGGTGGAGGGCAGCCCAGGGTGAGAGGGCAAGAGTGGTTCTCAAACTTGAACATGTTTGGGCATTACCTGGGGAGCTTTCAAAAATACTGCTGCCTATGGGTCCCACTTCCAGAGGTTCTGATTTAATTGGTCTGGGGTTTGTCTTGAGCATTAGTTGTTTGAAAAGATCCCAGGTGATTCCAATGTGCAATGAGGTTGCAAACCCCTGCTGGATAATCTGCAGCAGAGTTTCTCAAAGTATGGTCCACCACAGACCATCTGCATCAGAATTGCACAGAAGCTTTATGAACTTGCACAACCCCCTCTACCCACACACCCAACCTGATCCCAGATCTCTCTAGGTACCAATACCTGCATGTCCAGTGAACACCCATGTGATTCTTATGTACACAGCACTGCAGCACTAGCTGCCTAGAGTCTAAGAAGGAGAAAACGAGTACTTGCTTAAAATAGTGTTCATTGCACCCCATGTTTTTCCTTATTGTGACTGTGGTTATTGAGCTGCTGTATTTTCCTGATTCACATCACCATAGATTATAAAATGCACTTTCAAACTGAGCAGAAAAAAAGGGGGGAAATATCACCACATTAAATATACATAATTGTAAGAAATTCCTGATTTTAGAAAAATTAAAATATGAAGAAAAAAGTATTTGTATTTTAGAATGGAGAAAACACAGGATGTATTTCATATGTTTCTCTTGCTGGTCTAGAAGCTCTGTGAGGGCAGGAGCAGTGTTTGTCATATTCATCTTTCCAGCTCCAGTACCTAGCACAGTACCCAATGCTCAGCAAGTATCTATTGAGTAGATGAATTTTTAAATTTCTCCAGGCCCTAATATATGGACCCCCCTCCCCAACACCCTGGGCAGCTAGAGGGGAAAGGTGATGTCCGACTGACAGAGACCTGAAGCTTCCACACAAAACCGTGATGCAGCACCTTGGCAAGTTCCTTTCCCTTCCCTCTTTCCTTTTTCAACATTATAGGTTCTCCATTCAATGACATTTTATGACATTCAATGACATCCCATTAATAGTGGGATTCTCCTGAGTGAGAATGTGAGAGTACGATTAAGAGGAGGGTTTCCTACAAGAAGGGAGAGAACTCTGAGAATGCAATCTCCAGCCTAGGGCTTCCTCTGAATTAAGAATTGTCTTCCTTGAGCTCTTTGGATCCAGCTGGCCACCCCACCTGGCACTTTTCCACCAGGGATACCTTTTTATGTTCTCCTCCGTCAACTGTGACAGAAAGCATCTGCCACACAAACTATATTTATTAAATAATCATCACTTCAACTTTATATGTTTTTATTCATAAAAAGCATTTGCAACTCTATCTGGCATGGAAAGGGGGAGAAGGGAGAAGGGAGAAACTGGCATTTCTACTTCCATGACGTTGAAACAGCTTACAATGAACAAAATGGCCCCATGCAGCGAAAGATGCACTGGCTGGAGAGTCAGCAGGTATGTGTTCTAACTCTGCAGCTAAGTGATTCTAAGACCTTGGGGGAAGCTCCTTTCTCACCTGTAAAGTGAAAGGGTTGAATTGTTTCATCTCAAAGGATTCCTTCGGGCTCCGGAATCACAG